CAAAAGATGAAGTTGGCTACCTAACATCACTAGGTTCATTGAGACGTAGCTAAAAATTAATGTGAAAACATAATTTTTTTTTATTAAATAGGATGACTTCGATGCATTTTTATACACTATACATTACGCATTAATTACATCACGAAATATTATCATTTTCTAAGAAGAGAGGGTATATTCAGGAATCAAACATATGTTGAACACGACGAACAACAATTTCAACCGCATAAGGATTAGGCAGGTCAATTAAAGAACTTCAAAGTTTATTACTATTTGATTAAATGCTGCCATTATTTGTATTAAATCCACTAAATGAAATAATTATTGCATTGATGTCTGTAGCTAGGTCAAAAAAGTAGGCTCTGATCATGCTAGGCTCGAGTTTTTTGCTTTAGCAAATATGAGCTAGATTCACATATTAATTTCCATTTCATTATATTTTATTTTTCTCTCTCTTATTTTTAACCACACAATCTTTCATAAAATAATATTATACGCAAATCGAAAATTTTCCTTCTTTTTCAACCACTCATTTTTCAAGAAAAATATAATTCCACCCATTTTTATTTCCACAAGATGAGGACCAACGGGGACTTAAAACTAGTACGTTTGAATTTTTACTAATTTTACTTATAGGAAGATAGAGAAAAAAGTGTGAATCTTGATATAATAAGGTACTTACATAATTAACATAGTGAAGTTGTAATATAAATGTATTATTGTTAGATTTTGGCTTTGGAATGGTCTAAACTCCAAAGCATGCATTTGGTCCAAACTCTAATCTCAATTTAGTCTTGACAATTACATATGTGGTCACAGCATTAATTTATTTTAATGAGACAGAAGCAGCCAAAACTGAAGATTTATCTTGTGCAATTTTCAAAGTTTAGACCGTTTGTTCTTCGGATTCCTTGAGACCATTTGTCTAAGCAAAGACAATTGAGTTTACGAAGACCGGTTTGCATCACTTTTGACTTTCTTACCATCATTGCTTACGAGTATCTTGCACAATTTTTTTTTTTTGAAAATAATGTAAATAATTTGGTATAATAAGCTTACAAATGAAAAATGTAACATTGTTTTTAATTTTTGTTTGGTTTGATAATTCATATTCCACAAATAGAAGTAATATCATGAAATGAGTAATGTAAAAGGGAAAAAAGAACTTTATATTAATAGTATGTTTGACTCAGTGAACAAAGCAAACAATCATTTTACTAAATGTTTCTTTTGCCATTTTAATAAGCTAAACATGTTACATGCCATTTTATTAAATGTGTCTACGATGAACAATTATAACATGAAAGATCAATTATGAGGTTTTCAGTATACGATCTTATAAATTTGAAAAGTGAGTTTCTACTTTTTCTTCACGGGAAATGAATAAGGATGAGAATGGACTACGGTACATCATATCTAAAATGGACAATATGTAAATCTAGACTTGATGGTATGATCTTTGACTCAAGATACCGTTCTTGTAATGTTATCAATTTTACACTTTAATCCACATGATAAGTGTTGAGCATGCACTTATGGTAAAATAAGCTACAAAAAAATAATTTCTATTGTGGGTGGTCAAACATGCTCTCATATTTTCTAGACGTAGAAGAAGAAAGTATCATTTTTTTAATCTCATATATATAAGTAGGTTAAAAACCTTTCAAGTTCATACATTTGAGTCTATCAACCAATTAACAATGGATTCAAACTAAGTTTAAAGTAGCTTTTGCACTTAACTCTTATTAATCCTGACTCATTTCCACCGTCCATATTGCCTAATGATATCAAAAACTATTCCCATAGTGCGCGAATTTCAAGATTCGATATAACTTATCTACTCAGTACTTTATAAATACAAGATCAGCAAATTTTTATTTCAACTTTTATCATTTTAACAATCGAAGAGTTTTTTTTTTTTTTTTTCCTCCCATTTCGACGGCCAAATACGCCAATGGATCGAACATTTAGTTTGTATAATAACTACTTTCTCTACTTTAGTATTTAAATGCTGCCTATTCTGGGTGTGAATGGTGGCTATGACGAACCACC